AAAAAAATTTGAGAATCAAACACTTTACTTTTGTAGTAGATAATAACATCAAACACCCACTTTATGCAATACTTATTCAAACTCGACTGGCAGGTGAATGCAAATAATTATAAAACTTTTTAGCTGTGAGGTTTTGTAAGTCGGTTAATTTTTCATCCATTAAGCCTAAGGTAGTAAAAGATTAATTTGATTTTAGTAAAATTTGCCTCCAAATGTGGAAAAGAACTTATATTAAGTTATTATAACAATGGTAAGTAAATAAAATGCTGAAGCTACGTAAACATTGTTTAACCAAATAAATCTCCATAAAGATTATGGGAAATCTGGCATTTTGTCTTCTTTTTGCCTTTGGCTAATAACGATAATCCAAGTTAGTTAGCCTAAGATGAATCCTAAATAATCGGTTTACTTGATAGAAAATATATTTGAATATATCCGAAAAAAAAAAAAAAACTTGTCAATTTTTGTATTTTGCTTGTCTATTTTGTGTTAAATTTGAGTAAAATATAAAAATTATCGTATCACAATTCGTATCGATAGATTATATATGAAATATATTTTTTTGTTTTTAGCAAATTTATTTATGATTTTTGTTAAAATTTTAAATCATATTATATATTTTCATATTATATTTTATATTATATTTAAAATTATTAGATCTAATTTTTTTTACTTTTTCCTTTTGCTATTAATTATATGAATTTGAAGTAGCTACACAATTTCATTAAAAAAGAAAGGAAAAAAAAAAAGAAGAAATAAACAATTCACACGTTATACCACATGGAATGTTTGAACTTTCATCCCTTTGGCATGCCTTTACTAATGCTAGGAGTGATATTTCCTTTGGACAGATTGAAAGGTCGTTTTAAGTTTTCTGTATCTTTTGGGTGTTTTTTTTTTTTTAAGTTAAATTACAAATGCAACCGTTAAGGTTATATATAAGAAAAAAAAATTACTTCTTTATAAAGTTATAATACATTATCTTAATACAGTTAATATTAGTACACCATTAATATCTTTTCTAAAATGCCACATTTATATTTGTTTATGTATGATTGGAAAATGTTTTTGTCATTTTGAGTATTCAAAGTACATATATAGAAAGATTAATCCTGCAACCGAACATTTGGTTTTAATTGGCAATGCATGATCTAATGATCTTTCACTAAAAAGAGCAAAATCCATTCTTCTTTCTCCAAATTAAAAAAAAAAAAAAGGATCCTGCTTCATTTTTTCATCAAAATAACAAAAGGGAAGGGGAGTTTTACTAAGTTGAATAATTTGGTTCTAACTATTTTAAAAGGATAGCCTAAAAATCAAAATAAAATGTTGTTTGTTGAAAATTGAAATCATAGAGAAAGCAATACCATTCATGGGAAAGGGATCGATAGACCTTAGACAGATAAGAATATATATTACAATGTAATCAAAGTTTTCATAGATGTTATTAAAGAGAAATTGAGTGATGCAGAAGATTTGAATCATTCATAGATAAATCAAAACAACTGTCATGCACATGGAGATGGGATCAAAGTTACTGACAAATGCAGAAGAACAAAAGGTAAGGATATCAAGCCAAGACAAGATGTACTACCAGCTTATTATGGGAAGCCCGTTTTCATTTTTTTTTTGGTTCCACTCTTGGATTAATCCTTTGCCAGCCTCACCTCTTCCCCACGCATGGCTTATCCTGAATAAGACTAATCCTTACATGAATTAGTTGCATACGTATTTTGGTTTCTTCAATCTAAATATCAGTCATTATGGTTAGATAGATGGAACAATATGAGATGAATGTTAAGGATTCATATGATGAACGAGAGAAGCTTTCTCCTTTTTTTTTTTTTTTTTAAATCAATTAGATTTATTCTCATGAGAGTGTAAAAACACTTTAAAAATAAAATTTTAAAGGCATTAGATCGATATAAAATCTGCTTTTAAAATCACATAAAAAAATTAAACCCAAATAAAATTTGAAGGTATCTTGATCTTATTAGTAAAAAAAATAATTTGTTTTTTAAATCATTATTGAGATTAAAAAATAGTTATTAATAGGGGTAACCCTTTCTGTTGCATCCATTGTCAAGAAAAGTTTTTAAGGAAAGTGTCCGGTTCTTGTGCCAACTGTTCCTGCAAAGCCTCTAAACAAAAAAACAAAACATTAGGGTAAAATACGACGAATTTAATTAATCCATATGGCTGAACTTGCCAGGTTGTTTACAGATGTACTCAAACAAATGTTGTAAGCAGGCTAACAGATCCCTGGCCCAGCAAAAACCAGGCTAACAGATGATGGTCATTAGGGCAACTCCACCAACCACTGGTTCATATACCGGATTATGAATTATTCAGATTCTTTTCATGCATATTTTTCAGCTAAGGTCAAGAGTTGACAGGTCTAATTTTTCGGAAAAAAACTTAATACAATTCATTGAGAAGCCAAGTTCTGGATCAACAAAATTTCAAAACTTCTCTTCTTTTCACTTTTTACATATATAAAAAAATATAACATGCAAAATTACATTGAGGTACATTTAGGCCCGAGGCACATGCTGTCCTGCAGAATTCACAATCAATTATAGGGCAGAACCACACATATGCTAAATTTAGTGAAATTCAAACCATACCAACCCCACATACTGGAAATCCAGGAATACAGAATAAAGGACATAAATTAGACAGCCAATTCTCTCGTGATACATTAATGGAGGACAATACGAGGACAATTGACATTTATATCAAGAACAGAGATACACAGAAATATTCAGATTTAATCTTCGGAGAAGATTGAGGTGAATGAAGCAGTCATCATCATAAGAGACATGGAAACTGGTAGTGCCTGCTAAGGCCTCAGGGTCTTCGACCCCACGGCAGCAATAGAACTTGGCAGCATACGGCGGATCATCAGATCTCAATTCATAGTACCTTCAATCAATCCAAAGAGGTAAAAAGTAACTAGCAAACATCAGGTGTGACAAAAGCCTGTTTAAAATTACTTTTAACTCATATACAGTTTTCAATTTCTATAATGTCTCTCAACATCCATTTTTGAACAGATTTTTGTTTAATTCGGTATTATAATGTCATGATCTCCTTTTTCTACTTAAGAATTTATCTCATTATAATCAGTTTAAGGAATTATATCCACAATAGTCAGTTCTGCAATCTCTTTCTCTCTCTGTCTGCATGCAAGGTTGCACAGATGTGTTTGTAGAGTGCTCAACGTCATTTTGAGTAGCAGGGTAGCAGCAGTGGAGGTACTCAAGATGAGTGATTAGTGCCATTACTGAGAAAGCTTCTGACATCCCAAGTTCCGAAAATGTCAGGGTGGATTGTTGGCAACGTACTGAAAGTGCAATGTTAGTTGAAGTAGCAGTGATGAAGATCCATATATTCAACAAGAAACCTCAACTACTGAAAGAGAGAAGTGATCCTATTATCTGTACAATCATTTAAAAGCTTCACAAGTATGCTAGATGGCACCTTCTGGCTGTAGAAATTAAAAAAAAAAAGGTTCAGTTCATGCAGAAAAAAACGATTATAAACACGAAAGGTATATAGGAAGAGAGAGAAGTTGGAGGGTACCTCTTTTGGTCGTCATGACGACTACAGACAAAGAAATCAACAGAAAGTTCTAACAATAATGAAACAATAAAAAATATAAACCTTAAATTCACAAGAAATCATGATGTTAAATCCTGAATCCAATCCCAAAGAAACAAGCCAATTAACTATTATTAAAACAAAGAAATTACAGTAGATAAACAAACATCAAACATGTTCATAACACAACTAGGATACAGCCTGACATTAAAGACACGTGCCACGCCAACAACTAAAATCCGACGCTCTATCAACACAGACCACATGAATGTTGCCTCTAAATCACTCAATTTTAGTGATTAGATGAACAATGCTTTGGTCCAGCCATCGAGAGAAGTCCAGTCCAATACCACTAAATGGAGACATGCCCTGCCATTGAATAAAAAGGAATTGGAAAGTTTCTAAAGAACGCTAAATCAAGATAAACTCTATTAAAGCTTATATATTTAATATATATATTTATATATATTTATTGAAGCAAGGGGATACGACTTTCTGAACAAAAGATATACAATAAATTTAATTACTATTGATCCAATTTGTTGATACGGTTGATTTTGTTTTTAATTTTGAGTGACGTATGCTTTATAATAATAATAATAATAATACTATTAGATCATATGTTATTATATACGATAAAATAGCATTAAATAATTCCAGTTTATATGTTCTTTTTATTATTTTTATATTTCAAATGAAAATAAAAGTAGAGGAAAGAAATTTGAAAAAAAAAAAAGAAAAAGAACAAAGGAAAAAAAATAAATTAAGCTTACCGAATCATTGGACTGATCATTCCTCAGCTGAAATTTTAGTACCATCCAGATATATAAGAGAGGCATGAGCAATTTTGGGCCAATCCACGCCACTTTCCTGTTTGCATCTTTCACTTAATACGGGACTATCTTCAATCTTCACTTGTTTAAGGCACTGCAGCTTTTGCGGAAGAGTTGATAATTTTGGACAACTGATAATCTCAAGCTTTTCAAGTGATGTGAGACTCTGCCACTCTGGTGAAGTTGTGAGGTTCTCACATCCTTCGACGCTCAGGTACTTTAAAGTGTTGGTGGATCCTCGCAGAAGCCATTGGGGTAGAGCCTCCAGCTTTGGTAAATATGCAATCCCCAAAATTTGAAGACGGAGACCATTATCAACAAGGTTTTCTTGATTATCATCACCTTCTTTCTCCTTGAATCCCTGCATCGTACTCAGATCAAGCTTTTCACAATCCCCAATTATTAGAGATTGTAATGAAGTTTGATATTTCAAACCATGCGGCAGTGATATCAAGTTTCTGCATTCACCGATAATCAATGTATGAAGGGATGTGAGTGTCTGAATCTCTTCAAACAAATATTCCAGATTTCCACAGCCATAAATAACTAAATATTGAAGAGATTTCAAGTGTTGTAATCCATGTAGAACCGTTGTTTTGTAGTTAATGTTAAAACTCTGAGACTGATCATGTATCTCACATCCTTAGGCAGCTCTTCAATTTGGTTGCAACCACCAAGAAACAGAGATTGCAAATTTTGCAACTTACAAATGGAGTGTGGAAGTTTCTTGATGCTGGGATTACCGGACAGGTTGAGATACCTTAAATGCTTCAAATGACCAATCCTTTTGGGCAATACCTTGAGAGTAGACCCACTAAGATCAAGCACCCGCAAACGTTGGAACTTCTTGAGACATGTTTCAATAAAGGATTTGTTTGAAGGACCATTTCCCATATCTGGTAACCTAAGTGTACGCAGATGTCCTAATTTATCAAGGAATTTAGAAGCATTTTCCTCCAGAAAATAAGAGTTAATTAGGCACAAATGCCGAATCCCTTGGGCAATATTTTGCTCGAAAGAGTTTACAATACAACAGTCATTCTTTGCCACTAATGATGCAAGATCATGTAAAAGATCATGCATTTTGAATCTATTATAAATAAGTTCACCATCACAATCTTGAAAAAGAGATCGTGACAACAGATCGTTCAAATATTGCCTACCAATATCAGCCGGAGATTCATTTTTATTGGAGGATTGAAGAAGACCATGAGCCATCCAAAACTGGATTAACTCAAATTCATAAAAATCGTAATCTTTTGGATAGAGTGAACAATAAGCAAAGCATTGCTTCAAATGAGGAGACACTTGATCATAAGTTAGTTTTAGAACAGAAAATATTTCATTTTCCTTTTCCATTAATTCCCAAGTCTCGCTATTTTTTACAAGTCTCCACTCGTTCTCTGAAGTTTTAGAGAAAAGTAAACTCCCCAATGTCTTCAAAACCAAAGGAACCCCTTTGCATTTCTCAACAATTTCTTCTCCAATTTTTACAAGGTTTGGATGTTGTTTCTCTTCCCCTTTCTTGAATGCAAATTTGAGAAACAAAGACAAAGCTTTGTCATAAGGAAGACCTTCCAAATGCTGTGGGGGAATTGTGCCTGTGATCTTTGCAACTCGGTTACTACGAGTGGTGACTACAATTTTGCTTCCACTGTCACCTCCCACTAACAACTGTTTCAGTTCTTGCCATTTTCTATTGTCATCATTCCAGACATCATCTAAAACAAGTAAGTACTTTTTACCATTCAAGCAGTCTCGTAAGACCTTTTGTAATTGCTCCAAATCCATGTTACCAAGGTCTCCATCAACCCCTTTTCCGGCTTTAATGATCTTAACCAATAACCGTTTTAGATCAAAATCATCTGAAACACACACCCAGAGTTTCAACCCAAAATGACTATCTAAACTTTCATCATTGAACACCAACTTCGCAAGGGCGGTCTTCCCAAGTCCTCCAACTCCAACTATGGGAAGGACGGATATGTCTTCCTCATCAGCTGGAACATCTTTCATCAACATTTTTATGATTCTTTGTTTCTCTTCGTCTCTGCCAATGACCTCTGATGCCTGCACAAAGGAGTGAGTCTCCCTGTCCAACAGCAGCGCATGCCTACGGCCATGATGCCTTTTCTTGAGATGAAAATTATTTTTCAAAACAGCAATCTCACCAAACCTCTCAGTAATTTTTTTAATCTTATGAGCCATCCTAAATTGGAAAACAAGTGGGTTTGAGGCTGAAAAGAAATGGCTTACCTTCTTTCTAATGCTCCTCTGTTTCAGAAGTTGCTTCCGCGATGCTTCAATTTCAAATTCATCCAATACATCTTCTGCGTCATAACAGGCATCCTTCAACTCTTGTAACCAAACCCGCAGCTGAGCGTCATGAGCCTGTTTCTCTTCAGCATCTAAAAGCACTGCTCTGATAGTAGTTAACGTCTTCTTAAGCTTTTCAAGGTCACTCCGAACTCCCCAAGCTTGGAGAATTTCTTGACACGCAATATTGCCGAGTTGGAAAAGGACCCTTCCAGCAATGTTAAATGCGAAGGATTCAGTCATGATTTGTGAGACTAGGGAGGGGGTGATATGTCTTGTGCCAAGTCCAATTTTTGTGATGAGGTCTATTAATGGAATTAAACAAGGAGGAAAGGAAAGGAAATTAAGAAACTGGTTGAGATCAAGAGAAATTCTATGAAATGTTGTCTGTTACTGCCGATAATCTTCAATCAATAATGCAGATCGATCACAAAGGAATAAGCAAGTGGGGAAGAACATTACAAATTGACTTGACTTAGTATAGAAAGCAGTTGGGGTGGTGCTTTCAGTTTTTCTTTTTTTTTTTTCAAATTATGCTAGAGATCTTATACTTTGCACAAATTTAGAATTTAATCCATGTATTATAATTCATATAAATTTAATCTTTGTGTTATTTTAAATTGATAACTTTAGTTTAATCATTAATTCATTTATTTTTTATCGTTAAAAATGTTAATGATTGTCATAACGATTTTAGGAACGACTAAAATGAAAATTTTAAAAGTTTTCTAAACCAAAGGAGTCGTCACTATTTTTTTTTGTTTAGCTTTAATTGATTACTTAAAAAGTTTATATTTTTAATAAAACAATAAAACGAGTTTAAAGTTTATAAAAAAAAAAATTTTAGTTTACGAAAACAAAATTTAGTTCAGTAGTTGATTAGGTATAAAGAATGATTAAGACTTTCATTGAAATTGATACCAATTAATTACATGTTATCTTTAATATTGTTAAAAATGATCTTAATTATAATATTTAAAAATGATTCCATCAAAATTTATTTTTTTGTAAAAATCTCTTTTCCTCTTTTTTATTTTTATTTATAAATAAGATAAAAATCTTTAGTATTGAAATATTTTTTGATTCTTTCATATCTAAACAGAATTTCAAATAACATTTTTCTACTTAAAATTTTCATATTAATTTTTCAAAAATTTCGTATAATATATTTTATAAAGAATAATTATTGAAAAGCTTTTCAATATTTATACAAGATCCTAATAATTATTTTTACCTAAGAATATTAATATTTTATTTTTAAACAACTTTTTTCAAAAAGCTTAACATTTGTTGATTTTTGAAAAAAATTGTTTATAAATAAAATATTAATATTGTTGATTTTTTAAATGCAATATCATATAGAGCATATATGTGATACAAATGTAATTTAAATGCAAATAGTCTATTAAATTCATCCAACACATATTTAAAATTTATTTTTAATTCTTTTTTATCCAAAAACCTTTTATTAAAGAAGAGGATAGAGATATTTAGTATACAAATATTTTTTTTTTTAATTTTTTAATATTTAAGTAAAATTTTAAAAAATATTTCTCTATTTAAAAATCTCGCTATTTTCTCAAAAATTAGTGCAATACTTCTTCTCAAAAACTAATTATGAAAAAGCCATTCAAGTAGGATCTTAATAATTATTTTTACATACACTTATCAATCATTTTCTCCTTTTTTTATATATATAAAAACTAATTCCAAATCATCTAAATACTAACTCATATTTTATTCCATGACATGATGCAATTAGGGAAAGCAGAAATACCTGAAACCGACGGGTTTCGACCCGATCCGAACCGTTAGAGTCGATTTTTTTTTTTTTGAAAATCCGGTATTGGGTTGGGTAGCATAAAAAAATTTTGGGTTTGGGTCGAGGTCAGATTTTAGGCAAACCCGACCTTACCCAACCCGATATATATAAAAAAATTATTTTTTTAATTTTATATATTTTTATATATATTTAATTTTATATTTATATTTAAAATAATATTTTATTAATTTAAGATCGGGTCGAGTCGGATTTGATTTTATATAATGTCGAATCAGGTCGAGTTCGGGTATTAAAAATAAAAAAAAATTATCGGATAAGGTACGAGTACGAGTTTTATATGTTTAAAGTCGGATCGGAGCGGGCAAAAACTTGACTCGACCTGACCCTCTACCATCACTAGATGCAATACAAGATAAATAAATGATACAAATGTGATCAATTAACCAACATGATCTTATTTTATATATACTTAATCTTGTTATTATTAATAATGAAAGATATTCTATTTATTATTTTTTATTATTTTTTTTATGTGAAAGAAAATTTTCTTTAATTTTTCAATATTTAGATGAAATTTTAAAAAATTTATCTTTCAAAATATGATTTAGATTTCTTAAAATATCTAGATAGGGTTTCCAAAAATCATTTTAAAAAATATTATTTTATTTTAATTTCCTTAAAATCATTTTTCTTAAATCAATTTTCTTTCCAAACTTATTATTCCTTTTGTATACAATATAACACTTTCTGTCTATTATTATTTATTAATTTTTATATAATTAAAAATCTCATCTATCCACATCAAATTTATTTTCAAAAATACTTGATAGAAAAATATTAAAACACAAAAAAAATATTAAAACATCTTATACAAATGATAACACATCAAACAAGAGATATGAAAATATATCTAACAAATGTATAAACTTAAGCCCCAAATTAGCTGGGCTTGTTTCACCAAGTGTAACTCTAAGATGACTCTCCGAATGTGACTCCTATGGCTTTCTATCCCCTCCTTTTGTTTCAACAAACCAAACCCCTGGCTCACATTTTCAATCTTCTTTTTAACATTTTTCTTTTGACTTTTCTAAGCCCCAACATTTTTTCAACAAATAAACCTCGTGACTCACCTTTTCAACCTTTCTTTTAATTTTGCCCTTTTAACTTTTCTAAGCCTTATCCTCTTTTCTCAATAAACAAATCCTATAACTTACCTTTTAACCTTTCTTTACTTGCCCTTTTTAACTTTCTAAGCCTAATCTTTTTTTGCCTTTCATCTCCTAAGCCTTCATTTTCACTGTATTGTCTCATTTTTATTTAGATTCCTCATTTTAGGTTTTTTGGGTGTTTATTTTTTATTTTCGACATAAAAAGGAAAAGATTTTTTTAATGGCGATTAATGGGGGCCGTAGAGTTAGAGACCGTTTGGGTTTTTTGCTTTGATTTTTTTTTTTTTTTTTGTGCTTGGGTTTCATGGCTAAGGTTACTTGACAATGGCAATTGTGGGTAAGGGGGGTCACATAGTAGAACCTATTTCGATTTTTTTTTTTTGAGGGGATAGGTTGCTAGTGACGGTGAATAGGGCTATGTTTGGAGTTAGTTGTGTGATAGCTTATTTGTTGGCTGAGATTCGATTGTGGTGTGGGGATTAGGTTGGTGTTAGGAGAGTGTGACTATGATGGAAAATGAGTGTTGAGGCTTGTGAAATTTTTTTTGTTGTTGATGGTTTGCTGAAGCTAAATGGTTGAATGGCAAAGGAATGGAAATGGGTTTTTTTGGCCAAATGTTGCTTTGGGAAAAAAAAATTTTTGCTTGCTTTTACTCCCCCTCCATTTTCCTTTTTTTTTTCTCCTGCAAAGCTCCTTTTATAATGAACCCAATCCTTTATCCCAAGCTTTCATTCTTTGTTTTTTTTCTTTCCTATTTCAGTACCTCCGTAAAAAGCTTTTTGGCCGCCTATTAACTTCATTTGTTTGCTTGTTGTAGGCGACAACTGTTGGTGGCAAAGCTTTCGACTTGTTTTATGCTGAGTGTCTCTTTAGCTTTTGCATGAAGATTTCATGTGAAAAATAGTAGATGTTGGCTTCTATTCCTTTTCTTGGTTTCAGTTTGGGCTTCCAAAAATCCAGCCTTGAACCTTTGCTTTTATGCCCCTGTTCCTTCACGTGAAAAATCGAACGAGCCTTTTTTTGGGCTTTTAAATTTTGCTTTTGGACTTTGGGCTTTTAAGGCCCTATAACCTAATTTTAAATTGCCCAAATTAAATTAGATTGAGCTTTGGTTCATTTAAAAATAAAGAAATGATTAATCGTAAATAAACTCACTTAATTCAAGTTAAAAACTTAAATAAACCCACACAAATTGAACTCAAATAAGAAAGTAGACATCGAGTACCAAAAATCGAATAAATTTGAATCAATTCAAATAAAATTAAGTATCTATAATATAGTCGTTGACTTGATGACGTAAACGTTAACTTTATGGATGTAACATTGATTTACTAATGAGGTAACTTGAATGGATGAAAAAAATTTAAAATTTAGTTTCTCTAATAAAAATATTTTTAGAAATATATTATTTTTATTATATATAGTTAATTATTAATAATATCATATTAATAATAACATTATTATCATTTATATTAATCAATTATAAATTAATAATTTAAATTTATATATCAAAGTTAATATTATTTTAATTAGTTTAAATATATCATATAACAATATTTATAATAAACTAAATTATTGAATAGAGTTGCATTTGTAATAAATTTGAAATAAATTATTAAAAGTATGGCCATTTCATACAATTAAACAAAATAAGAGATTTAAATCTAGATTCTTACGAGGAATGAGCTTCTATCTATATGAACTTTTATCCGTATGAAGGACGGATATTGAATCTTAACAAAACAAATTAAGAAAATGATTTATTTAATAAACCAAAACAACAATATGTATATCATAATGAGCTTCCAATTTTTTTTTTAGATTTTTACAAAAAGAATTTATTTAAATAATTGTGTTAAATTAAATAATAAGATTAATTTTAAAATCAATAGACATTGAGTTTTGTAAATTATTTTAATGTTTTTAAAATCTTGAAACTAGATTTAATAATTTAAATAGGACTTAATTTAAAAGAATAGAAACATTTTTTATGGATAATTTTACCCTTATAAGATGGAATTATAATTCCAATTCATTTAATAAATTAATTAAAAAAATAATTTTATTAAAATTAGATAGTGACATATTTATATTATATATTAACAAATTTGTGATAGATTTTTAATAGATTTGGGTAAAAATTTTTTAAATGGCCACAATATACTATAATTGTGACAAAAAAGTGACAAGATTTGTAATAAGAAATAGTATGGAATTAATAATAGTATTTCATATGGGGAACAAAAAATTATGATGGATTTAGTAATAGTATATGAAAATTATAATAGAAT